CATAGTGGTCAAGACAGCATGGTACTGGCACAAAAATAGAAACATGGACATTTGGAATCAAATAGAAAATCTGGAAATGAAACCAACAACTTACAGCCACCTCATCTTCGACAAACCAAACAAGAGCATCCACTGGGGGAAAGACTCCCTATTTAATAAATGGTGCTGGGAGAACTGGATATCCACATGTAAAAGACTGAAACTGGACCCACACCTTTCTCCACTCACAAAAATTGATTCAAGATGGATAAAGGACTTAAATTTAAGGCATGAAACGATAAAAATCCTCAAAGAAAGAATAGGAAAAACACTGGATGATATTGGCCTGGGGACAGACTTTGTGAGGAAGACTGCCACGGCAATAGCAACAACAGCAATAATAAACAAATGGGATCTTATGAAACTGAAAAGTTTCTGTACAGCCAAGGAGACAACAACCAAAGCAAATAGACAACCTACTCAATGGGAAAGGATATTTGCATATTTTGAATCAGATAAAAGTCTAATAACCAGGATCTATGCAGAACTTCAATTAATCTATAAGGAAAAAACCAACAATCCTATACATCAATGGGGAAGAGAGATGAACAGAATCTTCTCTAAAGACGATAGATGAATGGCTACTAAGGATATGAAAAAATGCTCATCATCTCCAGTTATTAGAGAAATGCAAATTAAAACCACCCTGAGATATCATCTAAACCCAGCAAGAATGGCCTATATCACAAAATCTCAAAACTGCAGATGCTGGCGTGGATGTGGAGAGAAAGGAACGCCTTTACACTGCTGGTGGGACTACAAACTAGTACAACCTTCTTGGAAGGAGGTATGGAGAAACCTCAAAGAACTCAAGCTAGACCTCCCATATGATCCTGCAATCCCATTACTGGGCATCTATCCAGAAGGAAAAAAAACCCTTTTATTATAAAGACACTTGTACTAGGCTGTTTATTGCAGCCCAATTTACAATCTCTAAAATGTGCAAAGAGCCCAGATGTCCTTCATCCCAGCAATGGATTGTGAAGCTGTGGTACATGTATACCACGGAATATTATTCAGCCATCAAAAATAATGGAGATTTTACAGCATTTGTACTAATCTGGATGGAGGTGGAACACATTATTCTTAGTGAAGCATCACAGGAATGGAGAAGTAAGAATCCTATGTATTCAACTTTGATATGAAGACAATGAATGATAATTAATGACACAGTGAGGCATGGGGGAAGGGGAGATCAGACAGAGAAGGAGGGAGGGGGTGTGGGCAAGGAAAAAAAAAAGAGTGACTAATTCTCATATAAATTGTATTTAATTTTGACCAAAGTACATTACTTAAACACTAATTTTTAATTCAATATGTTAATATATTGTTTATCACATTGCATCCTCATTTACAAGTGAAATATGTTTGTGATTTCCCTTTATTTTTTTTTTTTTGAGACAGAGCCTCAAGCTGTCCCGCTGGGTAGAGTGCTGTGGCATTACAGCTCACAGCAACCTCCAACTCCTGGGCTCAAGCGAGTCTCCTGCCTCTGCCTCCCAAGTAGCTGGGACCACAGGCACCCGCTACAGCGCCCGGCTATTTTTTGGTTGCAGCCGTCATTGTTGTTTGGCGGGTCCGGGCTGGGGATTCGAACCCGCCACCTTAGGTGTACGTGGCTGACGCCTTAGCCGGTTGAGCTATAGGCGCCGAGCCGTGATTTCCCTTTATAATAATATATTTTCTCCAGTCTTAATATCAGGTGTATCCAGATTAAGTAGAATGATTCTGAAGTATTTCTTTTTCTATTTTCTATAAGATTTGACATGATCTGTTTTTTTGAAATTATCTTTTACTTTAATTTACAAATATTAGTTGTCTAATTTTTTGAGACTTCGGAAAAAACAAAATAATAAGTTAACTGAGCAAAGTATTCTATAATAGTCATACTCCTATCTGACAATGTGAATGTTACTTTTCTTTGCATTATTACTATTATTATTGCTTAATATTTTATTGGAGCAATTGTCTGATTTCTTTTCTGAATGTATTTATCTTCATTCATTCTTTATGAGGTTTTTGTTCTCAGTCCTTATGTCAAACATTGTTATTGTCATTAAACTTAGTCTTTTTAATTCTGTGAAGGCAAAAGTGGAAACCTAATATACACACGTATAAGAAAAAAAATTAGCAAAATCTAATTAGTAGCCAGAATGGTGGTTGGGAGGGTGGATTTTTTTTGGGGGGGGGGCTTGATTATTTTTCCCTATATTCTAATGTTTCATGATTTTATTTGCTTCTGACAAAAACCTCCTAAGAAATAAAAGACATTACAATTACAAATAACACAAAGTTTATTTAATTTCATCTTTCAAAAATACATTTTTATGCTTATGAAAGTAGTTTAAGTTCACTGTGCAAACATGAGATGCTCCAGAAAATGCAAATGAGGAAGTTAAAAAATTACTGTAATTCCAAAATCTACACATAGTCACTGTTAACATTTTGGGGTGCTTAATTTCACTCCTTGTAAATGAATAATTGTGTAATGTAATTGAAATCCGAGATTATATGTGGCTTTTTCTTCCTTTTTCCTTAAGCATCATAAGCATCTTCCATGATATTATTTTTGTGTCAAATATTATTTGTGATGGTTGCTCAAGAGTCTTCAAGGTGAACATCCTAACAATGTGAATGGTCCTTATTGGACCATTTTTGTCCATGTGAGTTGCTTTCCATGTTGGTTTTCCAAATGCTGCATTGAACATCACTGTACATAAAATTTTCACTTTTCTCTGGTTATTTCCTAGCAGTGAAATGGGTCAAAGGGCAAAAACATCTAAAATGTCTTTCCTGTCTTTGGGAACGGCCCGACCATAGGGGCTTTAATTTATGCATCTGTGGGCAACTAGTATCTCTTTTCTTTCTAAGAAGAGGAAACAAAACAAAAGTTTATTAATTTAAAAGGGTAAAAATTGCTTCTTTGTTCTTTTATGCATTTATTCTTATCGATTTTAATCGGTTCCTTATAAACCAGAAATATGATTCCTTTAGTTACAATGTTTATGACAAAAATTTCCCCATATTGTTCTTTGGGTTTTAATTTTATTATTACTTTGGCACACACGAGTTTGCACTTTCTCATGGTCAATACATTGGTTTTGCCCTTGGTGATTCCTCCGTGATTTTTATGTGTTAAAGAGCATCTCTACACTCATCTGAATGCTTCCCCTTAATTTTTTAATGTCTTTTTTGGTATTTTGAGATAGAATCTCACTATATCACCCTGGGTAGAGTGCCATGGCACCACAGCTCATAGCAACCTCCAACTCTTGACCTTAAGTGATTCTCTTGCCTTGGCCTCCCAAGGAGCTAGGACTACAGGCTATTTTAATGTCTTTTTTAAAACAATTAACTCTTTAATTCATTTGGAACTATTGTTATGAATGGTATGAAATGTAAATTAAATTAGACTTTCCCTAAACATCCAATTTTTCCATTATAGTTATTAATATTCCCTTTCCCCGGCTCGGTGCCTATAGCTCAACTGGCTAAGGCACCAGCCACGTACACCTAAGGTGGCGGGTTCGAATCCCCAGCCCGGACCCGCCAAACAACAATGATGGCTGCAACCAAAAAATAGCCGGGCGTTGTGGTGGGCGCCTGTGGTCCCAGCTACTTGGGAGGCTAAGGCAGGAGACTCGCTTCAGCCCAGGAGTTGGAGGTTGCTGTGAGCTCTAATGCCACGGCACTCTACCCAGGGGGACAGCTTGAGGCTCTGTCTCAAAAAAAAAAAAAAAAAATTCCCTTTCCCCATTAATTTGTGACTTTTTTTTTTTTATCACGTGAGAAGGTTTTATAAGTGCCAGAGTAGGCCAATCTACTCTACAAACCCATCTGTCTCTTCCTGAACCAACATGCCACAGTATTCATGTTGACACTATCTTTTCGCACTTGGCATGGCAACTTCTCCTTATCATCCTTATTATTTTGTTTTTCAAAACGTCTTGGTTATTCTTATTAATGTATTCATGCAGATGAAATGTAGGATTTGGACACATTTTCCCAGATCCTGCGGAATTTTGCTTGGTACATTTGTGCAGTCTTCCCATCTAGGATCACGGTGCCCCTGCAGTTTTCTTTAGATAGCTCCTGTTCGAATTGTTAGAAATTCTTATAGTTAAAAAACATATTATGATTATCATAAAGCGATTTTCCCATCACCACCCCTGCCCAGGTTAACAGGAAGAAGGTGTTTTGCTTTTTTTTTTTTTTTTTTTAATGTTTTTGTTTTGCTATGTCTATGGCTACTTGTTGCGCTCAAATTCTGAGACTGCTTTAGGTGATTATTTTGGGCTTTCTGAGTGGGCCATCACACCTGCGCAAGATGCTTTTGCCTCTTCTTTTTGACACTTAACATTTTTTGCTTCGTGTTTTACGGCCTTGATTACGTCTTGTAAAGATGGTCAATGGTCGTGTGATAAAGGCATTCCTGTTTCACTTCTGATTTTCATGGGAAGGCTTAAGGTGTTTCACCTGTATATTCGTCGCCGGAGACAGTTTGAAATAGCTTTTTAAGAATCATGCTCAGAAAATATCTCCCGCGCAGATGACAACTAGAACTAAAATCCCGGATGCCCTTTTCCCCGTGAAAGTCCTACGTGTTTTTCTTGGATAACTTTTCCGATTTCTTCCTTGGTTCTTTCCGACTACTTTTGGTAAGTCGGTTTGGGTTTTCAAAGATAAAAATACGGGTCGGCTCCCCCGACTCCCGCACCCTGCCCAGTGGACACCCCTGAGCGGGGGTGGGGAGACTGGACCTTCGCGCCAGCGAGAGGGGAGCCGAAGGGACCATGGGGCGGGGCTTCGCCCGCGCTCAGTCCCGCCCACCGCCGTAGCCGCGCATGCGTCCCGGCGCCGGGCCGGCTCTTCTGGACCCTAGTGCATGCCATTCTTACCCGGCCTGCCCCGCGCAGCGGCTGCCGGAAGTGGGCTTGGGCTCCTTAGAAGCGGTGAGTCGGGGACTGAGCTTCGCGAGCTGGCAACGGCGACGCAGGGTGGCAGGAGCCCAGGGGCGGGGGTGGGCCGGCTGCCGCCATGGCTGGAAGCCAGGACATGTTCGACGCCATCGTGATGGCTGATGAGAGGTGGGTGTCGAGGCGGGACCACCCCTCACCCCGCCCGTGCTCGGCCTGCTTCTCTCTGGGCGGATTTGCCGCTGGCTGCGGGCTGGAGCAGCCGCTTGTGCCCTGCGTCCCGCGGGCGGGTGCCCTGGGAGAGCGTCTTGGCCCTGAAAACGGCGCAAGTGTGGGGCTGAGATGGTATTGATTCTCTTTTACTCCTCGGCCACTCCTGCTGGGCCACGTGCCCAGCTGCTCTCTCAGACCCGCCTCTTCTGTCGGGGGCTGCCCCAAGCATCTGCTTGGTTGACGTCTGCCTTCCTCTGGGGACGCCCCGTCCTCTGGTGGGACAGACCTTTGCCATCTGGGAGCTGCCACTTTTTCTTGTTCCTTAATCGTAGCACATACGGCAGTATTCATGGACATGCTGATGAATGTGACACATACGTCGTCCCTTTCCCCTCCAGAGCCCCTGGGGAGCACCTAGTGCTGTGACAGCGGGGAGGTGTGAGTGGCTTTATGGGTGAGGTCCAGCGCCCGGTCCAGGGGAGATGACAATAGATGTCAGTTGAGAAAGCAAGTGAACATTTAATGATCGCTGACGTTTATTTAACACTTACTGTGAGTCAGACACTGAGCTAAATGTACTTTCTAACCCAGTTGTCTAGCCATTTTTAGGACGTAGATCCCCGTTCTCTAATTTGCAGATGAGAAAACACAGTCAGTTTTCAGTGTCACACATTAACTAGTGGGGAGCTATAAACTCAGCCTCATGTTTGTTGTGCCTGAAAAAAACTCCTTTCATCTTTGGTGACTGAAGGTTAAGATGTGCTGTTTCCACTACGGAGCTATTCCAGTACCAGTCATCGTACATTTTTGGGTGATCTGATGGCACTTCTCCCAGTTATTCTACTGAAATATGATGAAGAGCCCCGTGTATGTTACAGAGGGATTTTTGGAAACTACTGGCTGGAGTGAGTAGTGTTGCTTGTGGATTCACAGAACTTTAGCTCCCTAACCTGGCCGCAGACCAGAGTCACTCAGAAGATTTTGAAAAGTAGATTCCTGGGTGGTACCCCAGGCTTACTGAATATCAGGGGGACGAGGCTTTTGAGTTTATATCTTTAAATTTTTCTTGTGTGTTTCTAGTACTTCACCCGGTTTGAGAATCACTAGCCATTTTTTGTAGACAAAGAAAACTGGGCTTCCAGAGTACAGTGACTTGCCAGAGGGGAAACTTAGGAAGTGGTAGAGCTGAGACTGGAGCCTGGGTTTTCTGACTTGAGTTGGAGGCTTTTTCTGCTATACTTTGCCTTGTCTTACTGAGTCAGGCTAATATAAGTCAGAAAGATGTTTCTAGAAAGGATATTCTTTTTCCTGTTTATTTGATGAAGTATGCTTTTTCTTCACAGGTTTCGTGGGGAAGGGTATCAAGAAGGCTATGAAGAAGGCAGTAGTTTGGGTATAATTGAAGGAAGACAATATGGCACTTTACATGGAGCTAAAATTGGATCTGAGGTGAGTAGGAACCCCCTACTTAGAAATGAATCATTTTCGTGTACAGTTTATAATTTACTTTGATGTTCAGTATGACTGAGCCAGAATCTCAAGCCTTTCAAAATTGCAGTATGGGACTTAATAGATTAGTTTTTGTTTTTTTTTTTTCTTTTTAAAGAGACAAAGTCTCTGTCACCCAGACTGGAGGTACAGTGACACAGTCACAGCTCACTGCAGCCTTGAACTGCTGGGCAAATTTAGTAACAGTAGGTTACTGTATGGAGATGATTAAATTGTGCGGGTTGGAGAATGAGAAAACGTCTTTGGTCTCCCTGGAGTATCCTGGTGCTGTTTTAAGTCTTAAGCCAGCTGAATCCTCACCTAAAAAACCAGGACATGCCTCTGTCATGTGAAGATACTCCATTTACATTTACCTTAAAATTCCATAAAGTATGATCATTTTTCTTCTTTTGCTTTTTTTTCTAGAGTGGCTCTCACTTGTGGTTAACTGGCCCTAAGTGGCAAGATCTAAGTTGAGGCAGTTAAGACCATATTAGATATCTGATGCTGTAAAACAGATTGCCACAAAATGTATGGGTTTAAAACAGCAAATATTTGTTATCTCACACTATCACTGAGGGTCAGGAGCAATTACTCTGGGTGGTTCTGGCTCAGGGTGTCTCATAAGTTTGCACCTGGATGTCAACCTGGGCTGTGTCATCTGGGGCTGGAGGGCCTGCCTCTGAGGTGGCCCAGTCACACGACTATGGGCCTGGACCTCTCCTGAGTGGGTGTCCTCATGACTTTCAGCATCAAGTTGTCCAAGAGAGTAAGCCAGCCACAAGTGACACTGTCTTCTGTACCTAGCCTCAAAGGTCACGTGCTGTCCCTTCCTCTGTATTCTGTTGGTTGTTAAGCCTCTACCCCTGGTAGAGAGTCAAGGGTATAAGTGCCAGGGGATTAAGATCACTGAGGCCATTTTGGAGGATGGCTGGCCCACTGATGATTTGACCTCCTAACTTCCATTGCCTGGTGCTCAGTAGGTGCTTCAGAGCAACAATACAAGCAGCACCACTGCCCTCTGTTCCCACCTTTTTTTTTTTTGCAGTTTTTTTTTTTTTTGGCCGCTGCTGGGTTTGAACCTGCCACCTCCAGTATATGGGGCTGGCACCCTACTCCTTTGAGCCGCAAGAGCTCATGTCCCCATCTTTTGTGGGGTTTTTGTTTGTTTGTTTATCAAGCCCAGACAAGGTTCGAACCTGCCATGCCTCACTAACTACTGAGCTATGGTGCGGAGCAGGCTCACTAACCACTGAGCTATGGCACCCAGCTTCCTACCTTTTGTTTTGAGATCTTGGTAATAAGACAAATTATAGCAAGTTGCTTATTAATTTCACTCTTAAATATCTTTTAAATTCACAGATCGGGTGCTATCAAGGCTTTGCTTTTGCATGGAAATGCCTCTTGCACAGTTGTGCCACTGAAAAAGACAGGTAAAGCTGGAGACTTCTGTAGTATTCGGCCGAGAGTTCTAGTTCCATAGCTGACTAACAGTGACCTTGGGAAATTCATCTGTCCGTTTTCTCATTTGGAAAATGGAGGAAATAAAAATGTCAAACTTGAATATTATCAGGAGATTTAAAGGAAATAATACTTAGAAAGTGCCAGGCACGTTTTAGGTGTTCGATGTTTCGGTGTTAGGTTGTTACTACTCAGAAGAGTTCTTGTATTTGCTTGCCTTTTAGCTGGAGTCATGAGTGTCCTGAGTGGCTTTTAGATACCCTGCCAATAAAATTATGTTACAATTGATTATATCTTTTCATTCATCGTTCCCCTGAGCTTCTAGTAGACAGATTACAGTAGTCTTGGGATGATGTGGGCTCAGAAATGATGACTCCATTGTCATCAGTTTTTTGATATAGCCAACTAAGTCTATTAATGAGACAATGCATTGAAAGGTGTTTAACTCAGCTGGGTGCAGTGGCTCAAGACTGTAATCCTAGCACTCTGGGAGGCCGAGGCAGGTAGATTGCCTGAGCTTGTGAGTTTGAGACCAGACCAAGCCAGAGCGAGACTCTGTCTCTAAAAAAAAAAATAGCCAGGTGTTGTGGCAGGTGCCTGTAGTCCCAGCTCCTTGGGAGGCTGAGGCAAGAGGATCGCTTAAGCCCAAGAGTTTGAAGTTGCTGTGAACTATGATGCTGCCACACTCTACCGAGGGTGACAAAGTGAGCCTCTGTCTCAAAAAAAAAAAAAAAAAAAAGCTTACCTCAATTCTGGTACTTGTTATTACTAAGTAAATGTTATTTGAATTATTTTTAGCCCTTTAACACCATCCTTACTACATTCTACCTACTTAAAGTCCTTGTGACCCTCTTCCATCTGTCTTCATCCTTAAGCTGAAAAGGATCCTTTAGATAAAAGGCATAGGAGGTCTGACCACTCTGCTGCTAGTGGGAGACAGAACAACTGTACTTATGCTGGCTCTCTGGCTGGCTCTCTGTGCCATTCTGACTCCTGGTAGTTTTGCCTAGTATGGGAGGGGCATGAGGAGAGCAGATGACAAACAGCAGGGTAGGTAGCATCCCCCTGTCTGTGTGACTTGTACTTTTATTTGAAATATTTTGAATTTCTAGAATGTGGGTCATACCCCGCAGCTGAGCATGGGTGGCTCTGTCCACTCCATTTAGATGAGCAGTTGGGAGTTGACCAGATTCTCATGTTAGCAGAGGGACACTGGAGGGGATTTTCCTCTCAGTGGCTGGAGTGGCAGCATAGCCACATGGATGCAGTTGGAAGGGCTGCTGGCAGCCTGAGCAACCACTGGGTGGCAGTCGGAGCTGAGCCCGCTGCTCAGCATGGGCCAGGAGAGGGTGAGGCGCTTTCTTGGAGTTCTTCCCCTTCCTCCCCTTCTGCCTATTCTCAAAGTCTCTGGCTCATGGAAAAGTGTTCCACTTGTGTGTGAATGGTGCGTGAATGGTGCCAGGCCTTGCAGGGTGTCCACCAGCCTTTCTCTATCCGTTAGATAGAGGAGGGGTGTCCTAACTTCTTAAAGCGGTGCACACAGTCTTTCTAATGGGCAGAGAAGGGCTGGTGGACACCCTGCCAGACCTGCCTTGCTTACACCCCCACCCAACCAGCAGTACACAGAGGTTTCTTTGGAACCTAAGGCCTTTATGCTAGAGCAACAGTTCACAAATGTTTAGATTTTATAAGTCTGCATGATTTTTAAAAAATGGTAAAATAAAAAAATGGTAAAGAGCTGATATAGGATCTATTTTTTAGTTTTTCCAAATAAAGATATTAAAAGAAAAACACCTGCCATTTATCTGTGTTGTCATTCAGTAAAAGAATGAGTTTTTTAGGCTCGGTGCCTATAGCTTAGCAGCTTAGGTGCCAGCCACATACACCTGAGATGGCGGGTTCGAATCCAGCTCGGACCTGCCAAACAATGATGGCTGCAACCAAAAAATAGCCGGGCGTTGTGGCGGGTGCCTGTAGTCCCAGCTACTTGGGAGGCTGAGGCAAGAGAATCGCTTAAGCCCAAGAGTTTGAAGTTGCTGAGAGCTGTGACACCACGGCACTCTCCAGGGCGACAGCTTGGACTCTGTCTCAAAAAAAGCAAAGATTATTTTAACACCAAAGAAACCACAGAGAGAAATATCTCAGTTTAAAAGATGGGCTTTCAATGGAGTAACTAGTGTTTTGAAAGCTGTGTGAGGTGCTCCCAGCCGCTTCTCAGCAGCCTGGTGGAGCCCTTCTGCAGATAGCACTTGGCTAAGACTGGGCTCTGGGGCTCTGGCACTGTGATTCTTGTGTCATTGGCCATGAGCTGCTCACACCCTCTGACTGTCTGTGCCTAGCTGGGGGCTGGGTGTGTTTGGAGACGCATCATTGACCAGAGCAGAGCAAGTCACTCCTTGCAGAGTTGGAAGTGGGTGGGGCTGTTTGTATCAGGTTAGAATGTGGCATTTTCTACATTTTGGCATCTGTCTTCAGCCTCCCTGGGAACCCGGAGCTTTGTTGCTTAAATTAACCTGCTTTGACCTTTCAAAATTTTAAGTTTGTCAAAGAGTTCTTAAAAAGTGGTTTGCCATTGGGGAACTCATTTATCTGTGTGTCTAAAAGCACTAAGCATTGTTAGCAGCTGGCTGTGCTGCTTTGAATTGCCTTTGATTTCTCCCTACGCTCAGTTCTTTAAAATTCCCATTTTTCAGATATCTAGCACACTCCAGCCACTCAGACAGTCAAGTGTGGCATGAGGAAGGTGTGCTTCTCAGGATCCCCAGGCCACCCAGGGGTACACATGTGGGGACTATCTTTAAGCCCCATTGGTGCAAGCCCTGGCCTCCAGGATCTGGCAGGAGCCAGGAGACTTAACATTAACTGAGCACCTACTCTGCACAAGCTCAGGCTTCACATAGATTGTCTGATGCTCTTAGAAACCTGTGAGGTTGCTGTTAATTCCCACATTTTACCGATGAAGACACTGAGGTTCAGCCAAGTCAACCAGTGTTTTAGAGCGGTCGTGCTCCCAGCTGCCCAACTCCTAAGTGTGCGCCCGCTCTATAACACGTCCTCACCTTCCCAACAAAGCTCTTTGTCTTCCCTGGGAAGGGAGCCTCAGACACCAGACACTGATTTCTGCTCTTTGGAGGGAGGGAGCTTGTTGGTTTTTCTGCAGCTGAGCTCCCAAAGGCCGCAAGCACAGATTCCAAATCCTGGAAAATCCCCGGACCCAGAGCAGGCCTGCTCACGTCCCAGTCACTCTCTTTTTCGCCTAGTGCTGTCTGTTCCCATGTGTGACCTCAAGGGCCAGTGTGGCTTGTGGGTTGCCTCAGCTGCTCAGCCCCGTGGCTGGGATGGAGGCGCACCTGTAAGCTGCCGAGGCATTGGGTGTGGGCAAAAGCATGTTGCTAGGTAAATAAATATTATTTAGTGTAATGAGAAAATCACCCAGCGTCTGAACTGAGGCATTCTTAGCTCTTAAGTAATCAGCGTAGTTGTTACATAAGTGGAGCCTGTTGTGTACAATGGACTAAGCGTCTTTATTTCTCTGCTTTGCAGCAGGAAGATGAAAGTCTTAGATTCATTGATTGGAATGATTCAGAAATTCCCGTATGATGACCCTACTTATGACAAACTCCATGAAGACTTAGACAAAATTAGAGGAAAATTTAAACAGGTATGTGTACTGCGTGTTTCCTTGTGGTTCAGGCACCAGGTCCTGTCCCTTTCTGAGCCACTATTGGTGCTGTCCCTGGGGCTTCACTGTGTTGAGGGTAGGAATGGTCAGCACAAGCACACCATCTTTGTGTCCCTGAGTAGGACACTTCTAGAGAACAGGGGTCAGATTGGCAATGCAGACGAGAAAAGCTGCAGCTAGAGATAGTCACGTTCTAATTTGTAAGTAAAAATGCGCAAGACTTAAAACAAAATCATCTCTATTCTTTTTTCTTCTGTGTTTTCAGTTTTGTTCATTACTCAATGTTCAACCGGACTTTAAAATTAGTGCAGAAGGTTCTGGACTTTCATTTTGAGGATGACAGATGAACAAAGACGAAACATCAAGGAACAGATGTCCGTATGTTAAGTGTTTAAAAATGTGATTAAAGGCCAAACAATGATGGAGTATTCATTGTTCCGTAGGGAGGGATCCAGTTTGGCCAGTGAAAGGGCTTCCTTCCCCTGAGCTTTCTGCCTATGTTGCCGCGGTGCCCCCGTGGGCCTCTGCATACAGGCTGCCCTTTGCTGGGCCCTGTCTGCTTTGCTGTCTGAAGTAGGCTGCTTGCTGCTGGCCCAGTCAGGGGCTTTACCTGTCCTCTCCTGTAGGGTTGGCCTGGCTGGTCCTAGGCTGAGGTTGGCTCTGGATAGGATCACCCAAGCCTGGACTCAGAGCAACCATTTTTTTTTGTTTTTCTAACGAGAGAGACCAGGCTGACGTGAGCCAGGTTAATGGGAAGTCATGCGGAGCTCCTTGATGTGCTGGGCCTTCCTCTGCACCAGTGCTGTGTTAGTGCTGCCCATGTTTGGTTTAAGCTCTCAGGAGCCCATGAAGCAGGCCTTATTCCCATTTTACAGATGAGGAGGCTGAGACCCACAGGGCTTGTCTGGTCCGAGGTGACCCAGCAGCAGAGCTAAGATTTCTCCCTAGACTCAGGTTTGTCACCACCCAGTGGAGGGTGCAGTTTGGGAGTCCACTGTGGCCAGTTAGCCGGAGCACCTGGCTGAGAGGAAGAGAGGCCAGCTGATCCCGGGGGCCCAGGCATGCCCTTCACCATGTCTCCAAATGAGAGATGAGCTTTGTAGCATTAAAAAATGGTTAATGGAGAAAATATCTTGAACCAAAGACTGAATGTCAGGCTGTTGTCATTATTTGGAAACTTCTGGAGCCTCGTGTTTGGGACTCTGTATTCTTCCTTCTGATGAACTCCTGTCTTTTGACAGGACTTAAAAGGCATCACACATAGGCATCGAGGCGCAGATCACTGGAGCAGGGGTTTCTTTGGTCCTCTGCCAGTTAAGAAGACAAATTTGGTGACACATGTTAACACACCCTTCCCAGGGTGTCCCTAGGGTCACTGCAGGCCCCACATGCTCCTGCTCACCCCCTGCTGTTCTGGAAGGCACGTCTGAAAGCAGTGAGTGAGATGACTCAGGGATCTCCACGGATCCACTCAAGTCTCCGAAATAGTTCTGGAGGGTCTCAGTGGATCATGCTGCCCTGGCTGTGAGAGCCATTTAGGGATGTCCCTGCATCAGTCACGGTGGTGACATTTGTCCCTCTCCCCTGACTTTGAAAGTGTACTTAGGAGAAGAGAAGGGCTTTTCGTTTTTGAGGAATAGACTTAGGCTTTATCCCCCTAAAGGTGATAAGGGTGCATTTGGCTACCTGTGCTCCTCACCTGCACCTCGCCTCGGGGTGAGGGAGGCCCCAGTGTTGCCCGCAGACCTGCACCTCACAGTCAGGCTTCCAGTGGGGCTGGGCTGCTGGGTGTAGAGGGCTTTTCTTATGGTTTTCTTTGGTGACTTTTTGTGTTTTCTATGTTATTTATCTGTTTTGATAATGTATTATTTTTATAATTGGAGAAATAAATAGCATATTTTAAAGCAAAAGTTTGTCTGGGACCATTTATAACATGGTATTTATCCAGTTCAGTTCTTTCTCAAGGTGTTTGGGACCTGGGTACAAAGGAAGGCATGCGCCTGGGTCAGCCCCTGGGCTGGCTGCCTTCTGTTATGTTTCTGCCACATGTCCCATTAAAACAGGGCAGCCAAAAAAAAAAAAAAAAAATAGGGCAGCCATTGCTGCTGGGAGAGAGGAGACCCTCATGTTGGGGACTGGCCAGTTTCTGCTGACCCTGGCCCAGCCACCTGTCAGCAGTTAGTACCAATCTCCCCTCCCCTAGACTCCTCCCCACCGTCTCTCTCTGTCCTGCCCTCCCCTCCCTTCGCCCTGTCCCTTCCCCTCCTCTCCCTCTGCCTCTCACTACCAGATGTCTGAGCATCAGGCTACCAGTTCTCTTTCCTATCCCATGGAGCCAGAGCTGCCTCACTGATCACCTTCTTCAAGATTCCCACAATTAGACGGGATCCCCTTTTGGAGAACTAGACCCAGTTTCCAGGATCCCTTGGTCACTGCAGACAGACCTAGATGCTAGTAGACCAGGCCATCGTAACAGTCACTGCATTCTCTCCAGGTGATGCTGTCTTCAGCAATTGGATCAGGAATGAGCATGTCTCCTCTACTGGATCATAAATGGTTAGCAGGGGGCTTCTGGGAAACGTTACCTTGTTCCATAGAAGGTGCTAGCATTCTATTTTGGATGACATCCATGGGGATGTGACACCTGAAGCTACCACTGGCAGCTTGCAGCCCAGCTATGAGTGACACCAGCCAAGCATGACAGAGCGAGAAAGAACCTGGGTCCTTGATGTCACCCTGGAGCGCTGAACCCACCAGCTCTGAGCTCCGTGCTTACAGACACTCTCTAGGAGCAGAGAAGTGTGTTGTTCTTGTTCAGGGCTGAATGGGTTGGGTTTCCATTGTTTGCAGACTACCCTCCTCGCTCCCTCCCCAGCCCATCCAGTACCGTGGGTGTCACCCTCTATGCAGACTGGCCCTGAGTTCGGGGGCTCCTTGGGTTGGATCTCATCCCTTCTGGTAGGTTTCCCAAGGCTCAGGATGCTCCTTCCTTCATATCAGAAGCTCCCAGCACATTTTGTGCTGCTGTGTCGGTTTGCTGGGGCTGCCGCAACAGGGCACCACACACTGGGGCTCAGACACCAGCCAGTTGTTCACAGTCTGAAGGCCAGAAGTCTGAGGTCATGGTGGCACGGGGCTGGCTCCTGAGGCCTCTCTCCTTGGCTTGCAGATGGCAGCCTTCTCCCTGTGTCCTTACATGGTCGTCCCTCTGTGTGTCTGTGTCCTGGTTTCCTTATAAGATGCAGTGATAGAGGATGAGAGCCTACCCTAAAGACTTCGTTTTTTAACTTAATTACCCTTTAAAGGCCCCATCTCCACACACAGTGGCATTCTGAGGAATTTTTCAGTGACACAGTTCAGCCTGCAACAGAACAGGCCCCCTGTCTGTGGCTGCTGGGACAGGTTGTTAGCTTGGGACTTGAGAGAGAGGGAAGCCGTTTCACAGAAAAGTTGAAGTTACTTCAGTTAGTTTTTCTAGAATGTCAGCAGTTAGGCGTAAGCAAGATCAATCAGTCCTCTGCTGAAGCATACACTTTAGAACCACGCTCTGAGTCACTCTGGTGGCCACAGGGAAATACCTACCCAAAGCCAAGTTGTCCTAAAACAAGGCACATATTACAGCTTTTCCTTTATTTCATACTCCTTAAAATTTTGTTTTTCTCTTAACTTTGTTTTTCTCTGCCCTTTGGGAAGAAAGTAATGAGGAGATTGGGAAGAAGGGCCGAGATGTCGCGTGTGCTGCGCGGCTGCTGGTGGCCAGTGCTGGGTAACCCGCTGATGCTGAGAGGCAGGGTGCTGCCTGCCCTCCGCAGGTGGAACCAGGGGCCCGTTGAGTGACATGCCAGTGGTCACAGGGAGTGGCCAACCTCAGGCCTGACTGGCACAGCAGGGCTTGAGCACTTTGCTTAAATCACTTGTTTTCCGAGGCCATTTTTTTTTTTTTAAGCTACATCTTCTCTGCCAAAGCAGAGATACTTTTTCCTGATAGTCTGTAGGTTTCATCTCTAGTCTTGCTTCTGGTGGGCTGAGACAGGGGCAGATGAATGGATGGAAAGGGGCCCGCACCAGCTGCCTGCAGAAGTGGCAGTGAATGGGCCCTTCATTTGCCCCCTACCCTGTGAGCAGGTCCCACCCAGGGATCCACACAGCACTCGGGGAGCCAGAGGCGGGGTGGGGTGTTCAGCTGTGCCTGAGGAATAAGGTGAGCAGGGAAGGCTTCCTGGAGGAGGTAGCTTTCGCCCCATCGCTTTTTGAGCTCTCATTTGACCCTACACAACCACAGAGAAGTCTCTTCCATCCTGCCTGAAAACACCGATGTTCCCTGGAGGCACCAGAAACTGTGAGTAATATGCAAGGCCATATTACTGGCTGTATTCTGGTCCTTCATGAGTGAAGTGAGGAACTGGTTTGCAACTCAGAAAACTGAAGTCACCAAGTTATGACGATTTATCAGAGAAAAACAGACATTGTGTTCTGTGCTTCGTAGGGGTCCCGTAAGTGAGGAGCCAGACCCCAAAAGGTACAGTGAGTTGTCCAAGCCAGCGTGGCTAAGTGGCTTAGCACGGGCTGCTCAGATGAATTTTCTAGGAAGGAAGGTCCCTCCTTGTGGGTAGACTTTCTCATACCTCTTCATGGACGATAAACTCCTCAGCTGGCATCAAGGCTCTCGGTGGCCCCCGTCATGACAGTGCCTTTGGCTGTGTCTCCTAATGCCCTTTGCCAGATCAGCCGGGCCTCAGGGGGTGGAGTCTCTCTTGGATGGGGCCTGAACTTCAGTCTTCCTTCTGCCCAGAAAGAGTGTGTGGGTGGCTGAGTGGCCTGGAGATGCTCACTGAGACAGTGAGGATTCACATTCCTTTGTGTTCCTCTGCTGTTCCCAGTGGCTGTGCACCCCTGAAATAGCAGGGCACACGCAGAGCCTGCTGCCCAGTTTTGAGAGCTTAGACAAGTCTGTTAATATGTTGAATTGTGTCCCCCCAAAAAAGTATTCGAGCCCTATACCCTGGTACCTGTGAGTGTGACCTTATTTGGAAATAGGATCTTTGCAGATTTCATTAAGATATTAGTTAAGTTGCAGTTGTACTAGAGCAGGGAGGGCCCTAATTTATTTATTTTTCTGAGGTCTCACTCTGGCACCCAGGCTGGAGTGCAGTAGCAGATCACAGCTCTCTGCAGTCTCCAACTTTGGGCTCAACCAGTTCTCCCACCTTGGTGCCCAAAAGAGCTGGAACTAAGAAGAGGAGGAGCCACTTGGAGAGAGGAGAAAGGAGAGGGGAAACAGGAGAGAGGAGAGAGGAGACAGGAGAGAGGAGACAGGAGAGAGGAGAGAGGAGACAGGAGAGAGGAGAGTGCCTCCTGAGGCACAAAGCAGGCGGGAAGGCAGTTACAGGAACATGGAAACAGAGGTGCGAGTCAAGCTGTGACCAACAAAGGAAAGTTGCAGCTTGCCTGAAACACCAGAAGCCAGAGAGACGGCAGCCCTGCAGACACCTGATTCACACTCTGTCCTGGGAGGGAATAAATTTCAGGTGTTTGAAGCCACAACTTAGTTCGCAATTATTTGTTATGGCAGCTGCAGGAAACTGGTGCAACATCCCTCTCCCTGTCTGGGCTGTTTGTTCCTCTGCAGGCTGAGGGTGCTGGCCTCATGCAGTCCAGACTCTTCCAGCCTGCCATGCAGGGCTTCCCGAGGGATCTGCCTCAGCTCCCCTGGTCTTTGCTGCCCCTGGGGAACAGGTGGAAGGGGCACCTGTATCCTTAAAAGACTCTAACCTCAAGATACCAGGAGCATATTGTCCCCTCTCCCAAGAGGCTGCTACCTTCTGGGGCTCAGCTGGCTCCGGTCCTGAACCAGGGACTGAGACAGGGCCCACGGGAGAAGGCTGGCTTGAGCCTCTCCCCAGCTTCAGCCCCTGCAGGCACCATCTAGCTTCATGTCTGGACACTGGGGCGATAGGCACGGTCAGTTTCTCCTCATCTACCTGGTCACGTGGGCTCCATTATGCATGCCCAGTGTGGGTGGAGGCGCACGCTGGCCTGGGACTGGAGGCACAGCAGTTCCACACGTCTTTTGAGGTGGCTCTGTGCCAGGCACTGGTGGTCCAGAGATGAGTCAGTCCCTGATCGCATGGAACTCCCAGCTAAGCAAGACAGATATGTTAAAAATCCAAGATCAAATGGTAACTTTGTCAGTGGCTCCCATTATTCATACCAATAACATGTGAAATCTAGAGCATGTAGAAAACACACATAAACTGTAACACTAAAAGACCTCTAAAACCCAAATGATACAGAGCCCTATCAAGCTAACTTAATGAAGGACAATGATTGGCTCCTGGAATAAAAGAGAGAGGACTTCAGGAAAGGCTTGATCTAGCAGCTTGTCTGGAGAACCATTACCTGCTCTCTGTTCTCCTGCAGGGCTGGTCTGCTCCTCCACCGGGAGCCTTGAGAAGGGGGAAATCTCTCTTGTCCAGAAGACTCGGAAAATGTCTCCACAAGTCTCGTTGGCTCTGTTAGATTTTACACCCCTCCTGGAACTTGCTGTTCTTCCCGTGGGCACAGATGTGCTGTTGGGTTTGAGCCTGCCAAGGCCTGAGCCAAAGCTAAGGATGAGGATGGTCCTACCCAAGCCACAGGCCTAGGAATGGTGGCTCCCACAGAGCAAAATCTGGGAGATGTATACACCAGGAGGGGGAATTGTCACTGTCAACAAAACCAAGAGCTGTCTGCCTGATGGGCCAAAGGAGGGAAAGAAGGATGGCTAATGCCACCCTCCAGTGAGCATCTTGGGGCCTGACCTTCCAGACCTGGAGGATGCATGGAATGATGGTAATTATACCAACGAGATGAGAGGACAGTGACATCATTAGTGACA